CCTCACAGAGGAGGGAGAGCTTATACCTGAGGGTGGGCTGGGGGGGGGGGACTCTGCAACTTACCTGGCTGCTTCTTGCTCCTCATGGCCCAACTGAGGGCTGCTGGGAGCAGGGTGCAGGGCTTGTTGCATGTGCCCACCCCCTGGACTCCCTACTGCCGGAGCTCCGCTCCTGTGCGCTCCCACAGGAAATGGCCCCTGACATGGAGTATAATAAGGTAAATAATATAAAGAGTGGTGAAGAGAGACTCTCCCAGATACATTTATATGTGTGGGAACGAGAGCTGGCAGCCTTGTGAATACAGCTTCATGCACTGGACGTGTCCTTCCACCGGGGCTCCGTCTGTGCCTCTGGGGCTATCGGACTGCATCTTCTTTTCTCTCACGCTCAGATGTGAAGATAATTGCGCAGCTTGTGAATTCTCTGGGAGAAGATGCCTCAGGTGTAAAGAAGGCTTCAGCTTGCTGAATGGCTCATGCGTCGCCAGTGACAGATGCCACAATGGTATGTGTTTGCATGGAATGATGCTTTTGGGTTCTCTGTGGCATGCACACCCGTGTCCATGCACAACTTGGGCTAAGTGCACTCTGGTTGCTTCTGTCAACACAATGGGTGCGTTCAGACGTGGCGTTTGCAACGGTATAGGTGCCGGTTGCAATCGGTGTACTTACCGGCGTTCACACGTAGAACATCTGCCTTCCGTCCCTAACCGTTGCAAAGCCCTTTAAACCGTTGTACTCTGCCACTAGGTCCCCAAGTGGTGGTATCCTGAGTACAACGGTCGTAATCGCCATACCCGCCGTCTGATCGCTCTCCACCGTTGAGAAACAACTTCCGTTCGGAAGCCTGAGGCTTCCGATTTTCGCCCGCCATTTTTTTAAAAGGTTGGCGATATGCGCTTGGGCGAAGCTTCGCCCTGGCGTTTGTTTAAAAAGAAAAAGGAAAGGGCCTTAGTTTAGCGTTTCGGAGGCGTCCGGGACCTCAGGGAGGCTACTTTGCTCTTTAAACTTTAAAGGTAAGTCCTTACCTTTAAAGTTTAAATGTAAGACAGGGGTTTTTGACCATTCTGTGGATGGCTGCCTATGCGCATGCGCAAACTGAGTTTAAAAAAAACCCCAAAAACGCCGATGCCCGCTGTGTGTGGACGGGCATACAACGATGGGATCCGCAGACAGGAGGTGAGTGTGATCGCGTTTCAGCCGGCATAAACTGCACCGGTTCTAGCCGGTACAGTTTATGCCGGCTGAAACGGCGTGTCTGAACGCACCCAATGAGTGAAATAAGAACTAGTGGGGGACTTTAACGTGTTTCAGACTTATGGGAAGTGGTAAAGATTGGGTTAGGGGGTGGGAGGCCCTGGAATTAAAATGAAACGTGATCTGTGTTATCTCATGGGAGGGCAGCTAAGAGAAAAATACACAGAGGCCACCGGCACCGAAATTTCAATAGGGTTATTACCATCTATACATACCAACATTCCCAGAGTCTCATCTTTGTCTTCTACCAGATGTTCCTCCATTCTTCACTCTTGCCTTCCATCACAAATAGAGGCAGTTTAATTGCTTCTGAGGCTGAGATTTCATATGCATAGAATATATAATCAACTTTGTGGGCGCTTAAATTCAGGATGCAACTGGGGTGGCCGACAGCCCTGTGATTGGGAAAATGGAAGTGTGTGGGGTGGAGTGGGGATCCCTGACTTTGCTGAGGTAAAGGTTTCCCTTGCTTGAAAGCCAGTTGAACCCAACTCTAGGGGGCGGTGCTCCGTTTCCAAGCTGAAGAGCCAGCGCTGTCCGAAGACGTCATGTGGCCGGCATGACTAAACAACAAGGCGCACGGAACGCTGTTATCTTCCCACCAAAGCGGCACCTATTTATCTACTTGCAATTTCTTGCTTTCGAACTGCTAGGTTGGCAGGAGCCGGGGCCAGAGACGGGGGCTCACTCTGTCATGTGGCACTCGGGTCTCGGAGTGCTGAACCACAGACTTTCCAGCCTGCAGCTCAGCATCTTAACCTCTGAGCCACCACAGCCCCAACTTTGTTCAACTTTGTTGAACCTGTTTTTTTTTTTTAATAAATGATTTTATTAGAAGATAAGTCAAATATACATAAACAAGATTACTGTTTAAACAAATAAGTGCAAATTCATTTAACACAATGCCATCTATTAACTGTTGACGTTTTAGGGATTTTGAGAACAAGTAACAAATGGCTCAAGTGGTTAAGACGCTGAACTGCAGGCTGTGGAAGGTCGGTAGTTCAGCAGTTCGAGACCCGGGTGCCGCATGATGGAGTGAGCTCCCATCTCTAGTTCCAGCTCCTGCCAACCTAGCAGTTCGAAAGCAAGAAATTGCAAGTAGATAAATAGGTGCCGCTTTGGTGGGAAGGGAACAGCGTTCTGTGCGCCTCGGTGTTTAGTCATGCCGGCCACATGACCACGGAAACGTCTTCGGACAGCGCTGGCTCTTCGGCTTTGAAACGGAGACGAGCACCGCAACCCTAGAGTCGGACTCGACTGGCTTTCGAGCAAGGGAACCTTTACCTTTACCTTTTTAACGGATGCCACAACAGAATGATTGGGAGGTTCAGCAAGAATGTTACGAGGTTCCCAACCAAGCGCCTGGGGGGAAAGCAGACAGGCGTCAGGAAACACACTAGTGCAGGGGGTCCTTTGAGCCTGCGGGCCCCTTTGGAATTCTGACGCGGAGGGACTGTCTCAGGGAGTGGAGCCGCAAATACGGAGAAGCCCAAGAGTGTGTGTGGGGGGGGGGTTGATTCAAAAGATGCCCTGGGAAAGAGGAGAGAAAGAGAATAAAACCAACAGTGTGGTGGCAGCTGCCACTGAAACAATATTATTTTAATTGTCTGGCCGATCACATCTCCAGTGGCCACTCAGAAGCCCTGCTGGGTAAGCACAGCACAGCACGTCGGGGCTCCCTGCACTAGTGGGACACCCGTGTAGGAATCAGTTGGTTAGAACCCTTTCCCTCCTGCACAGCTGCTTTTCAACAAAACTTAAGACATGGGGTGGGCCCATCTCGGATCTCCCACCTCTTATTTAGCTTAGGTACAAGACACAGATATTCCGTGCAGGAGAGGAAGAGAGCCTTTGCCTTCTCGGACTACACCAGCAGCTCTGCAAGAGAGGGGAAGGGAAGGCAGCCGGCTTCTATCTAGTTCAGGGGTGGCCAGACTTGCTTAACGTAAGAGCCACACAGACGAAACGTCAGATGTTTGAGAGCCGCAAGACATGAACGGATATTACATGTTTTTATTGGAAGATATGCAAATTTGCATGTTATTAACATTAAACGAGACGGCCAAAAATAACAACAAAAGCGGTGAAAGCAGATATTGATAATATTTATTTGTCCAATGATAATTTGTTTGCTAACTATATCTGCCGGGAGCCGCACAGTATGTGTGAAAGAGCCTCATGCGGCTCCTGAGCCACGGTTTGGCCACCCCTGATCTAGATGCATGTGAACAGCTGCCTTGATTTTTTTCTTTTTTGCAAACAAAAGTGGGGACTGAAATATACTCCTTAATCCCCGTGTATGTGGCTGTGTCACAGAGGCTACATCAACGGCTTGCAAAAACCCTTCCCCATCGTCAACTGTCTGATGCGGGGACAACCTGCTATTTTCAGTTCTTTCCTTTGGTGCTGAATAGCTTTTGTGCGCCCTCGTTTGTCTGGCTGGAATGTCTGATCGTGTTTCTTATTGTTTCTCCCCCCCCCTTTGCAAAATGTACACTCTCCCAGCTGACGACACGTTCTGCGAGATGGTGAAATCCAACAAGCTGTGCGAACGCAAACCATTTATACAGTTTTGCTGTCGGACATGTCTCTTGGCCGGCTGAACCGTGCCTTTCGTATCTGCCGTCTGGAGGCCTTGTCGTGCCAGATCCCTGGGACAAAGTTTTCCCTTCCCCCCACCCCCACCCCCAGCCTCGGGGAGCTTCACCCAACGCTGGCTTGAAGCTTCAAGCTTGCGACTCAGATTGCTTTAATATCTCCTGTCAGTTGATTCCTCCGGTGTCGCATCTGGTATCCCCGAATCTAGATAGCTTCATTGCCTATTTGTTGGGTCCTTTTTTACATGCGAATGCCAACATGAGTCCTTCACAGATGTGCCATGCTCATGGAGAACAACACACGGCCCATATGCGCAGCATTGTTTGTGAAAGCGACCATTCCAAATTATACCTCAACACAGCCACATGGGAAAATATTAAGTTCTTTTTTTTTTTCATCTTGGAGAAGAAAAGGGCATCTCTGTTCTCCCTGCCCCCGCCAATTAAATACTGCAGCATAGGATTGTGGCATTCTGTCCCCAGTGCAATACAGGGACTGTTAACACAGCGCATCTCTGCAAAAGAAACACATTCCAGGTTGCCTTTCAGTAGCAAGATGGCCAGGGGGAGTTTGGAGCTTGCCAACAGCCAAAGGGGCAATGTAGAGCTGGCAGGAATGGAGCTCCAAATCTTCCAGCTCACTGCAAGCCATCCTCAGCCACCAGGACCCTGAACGACCCAGCGTGCCTGCCAGGATGCGCTTAGTGTGGACCTTGGAGGATCAAAGCCTTACCCATGAAATGGCTCCTGATGGCCTCAGCTCCCGACTGCGAGAAGATTTCCCTCCCTGCAACAAGAGATGGCTTTCTGCAAAGATTTGCACCACGTTGCTTCCACACACCCCATCCCCACCCCCTGCCAGCTTTGATTGATGTCTTCATTGGGTCCAGCCAGTGGTAACTTGCTGACAGCCTCCCCTTCCTGTCCAGCGATGACGACTCAGTGACATCCGACGTGAATCCCTTCCAAGAGAGGTTCCCTTCAGCCAACCAGGAGGCAAAGAAAACCACCAGTTCTACAGAAGAGTCGTGTACAACACATCTGAATGTATTCACTATAATATATACAGTATATAGTATATTATATATGTGTGTGTATGTATGTGTATATATACACACACTATGTACTATATGTAGTATGTCCTGTGCTGTTTATGTAATTGTGTTAAAATAGATTTGGCTATGTTGTCTTACTGATTATTTTTTTTTAAAGATAACTTATACAGTCCCTTGCCTTCCTTCATAGAGTTTTTTAAAATAATTTTTATGGGGAGACTTTTTTTAAAAAAAAACCATTTTGTTTTCTAATGACATCCTTTCAAAGTCAACAACGATCCTTTTCTACCCCTCCTCAGACAAAGGCAGCAATATTTCTCAACACCCCCCCCCTTCTTCTCATAGTGCCAGTTCTGATTCACATTGTCGGCTGTTTTAATAAGTTAAACCTTCAGCCCATGAAATTGGCAGTAAAAACGGTAATTAGCTCTTCACAAAGTGCATTTTCTGAATGTATTCCTCCCTTCTCCCGCTGCCGCCGCCCTGGCTGGAAGTAACCGACATGCTTGTAACTGCCTTTGACCCGGCCTTTCTCAGACTTGGCCAGATGAATAGTGAAAGCCGGCACAGTCTTTTTGATGCAGAATGGATCAATGGCCAAAAAGAGTTGATAGAGTGACCCAACGTGAATAAAATGGTTATAGTCCTGATGAATTACTCTGTACGGTTTTTTTTAGCTGCCAAAGTAAAGGGCTTTATTTTATTATGAGGAATATAATACTTCTGTGCAGTTTTTTTTTTAAATTACATTATGGCGGGAGTATAAAGTGTATACTTTATGGAACCCATCTTCTGTCCAGGGGACTAATCAAATTTACACCCTACAGCGACAGTGAATCTGAAGCACTGGGTGCCCCAGGCCATTCGTTTGGGTCCGCACAATACAGTTTACACGGCTTGTAAACTGCCTGAACTGCTTCTAGGAACCAGATGGAAACCACTCTGAGCACTTTGAAGGACAAACAAAGTAGAATTGCAGTAAATAAATGATAGTAAACTCTGCCAAAGGAACTCCCTGCATCTGGCCCGCAGCACGCCAAGAAGAGCATGAGAGCCACATGCAGCTGCTTGCGAGGCGTGCGATCAACGTCTGGGTCCTGCTGCCAGCACGGCAGGAACGAGAAGAGGGTAGGATCCCAGGACAGCCTGGCTTTGTAGCATGTTCCAAGGCAAATGGAGAACATATCCAGATAATAGCTTGGTTCGGTCAATGAAATGTATTATTATTGGGTCACTGTCTCTTCAAATTTGGGCAGGATCAGCAGAGAGGGGATGGGGGCAATTTGGTGCTGTTATTTCTGCTTTAAAGGTAAAGGTAAAGGTTCCCTTGCTCGAAAGCCAGTTGAATCCAACTCTAGGGTTGCGGTGCTCATCTCTGTTTCAAAGCCGAAGAGCCAGCGCTGTCCGAAGACGTTTCCGTAGCTGGCATGACTCAACACCAAGGCGCACGGAACGCTGTTCCCTTCCCACCAAAGTGGTCCCTATTTATCTACTTGCAATTTCTTGCTTTCGAACGGCTACGTTGGCAGGAGCTGGAACTAGAGATGGGAGCTCACTCCATCATGCAGCACCCCTGGGTCTCGAACTTCTGAACTACCGACCTTCCACAGCCTGCATTTCAGCGTCTTAACCACTTGAGCCACCGCAGCTTTAGCTTTAGCCCTTCTTGAATAGCTGTTGCATGTCAGAGCATACGCTAGTTCCTGCATCTCTATTTAGTGTGGTTTCTCAGTCTCTTGGTGAAGATGGAGCGACGGTGTCTCCGACCTTGTTCCCTACATGCTGTGTCTGCCCAGGGCTGCATGCAACATAATAGAAAAACAGCACCTTGGTGGATATTTTCAAAAGAATGTAAAGAATGCAAGATCTTGATTTGCTGGGTTTGAGAAATGACTCACTAGTCCAGGAGCAGCGTTGGAAGGGCTCAAGCAGGGGATAAAGATGGAGAGAACATCTTTGGGGACAGCATTTGATATGCAGAAATGTACGCACCCCTATGCCGTATTTTTTTTAAAATCTGCCCCACCCCACCGACCCCTATTCATACAGGTCTTTTCTGTAAATGGTAAAATAATCCCACTCAGCCAGCCACAGGAAATGTGACAGTCTTAGAGGAGAGTGCTCCAGAACAGGTTAGCAAACTGGGCAGGAATTCGTGTCATTCTGTTTAATCCATCAGATGTGTATGGGGGTTGGGTTGCCAACCTCCAGGTGGTGGCTGGAGATCTGCTATTACAGCTTATCCCCAGGTGACAGATCAATTCCCCTGGAGAAAATGGCTGCTTTTGAAGGTGGACGCCAGCATTATACCCCACTGAAGTCCCTCCACTCCCCAAACCCCGCCCTCCCAGCCCCCCAAATCTCCAGGTCAAGTCAAGTCAAATACCTTTATTGGCATACAATATTAGAAGCAATTCCCAATATTAATACAATCCAATAGAAATTATAAAATAGATAATCTTGGTAAAACCATTCCAAGGATATATCAGGCCTATAACATCACTCAAGTTATCACAAGATAGATTTGGCCGTACAAAAATGCCTGAATCGTAAAATAAATTTGAACTCTAAACTTAAAATTTGAGTTTTTTTAAATTATAAATTAAGACTCATTAATCTGATCAGGGTCATTCTTCCGTTTTATAAAACCATGAAGAAACTTGGCGGTCAGTTCAATGATCTCCGGATCTCGTGAAGCAAGGAGATAATGTACCTTGATTCTATCCGGTTGGCCTGCTACCAACCTAAGGGGGGAAATCTCCAGGTATTTCCCAACCCGGAGCTGGCAAACCTGGGGGGGTGTCCTTTGCAGGATGTGGCCCAAGCAGCGCTCTGAGGTCTTTGGTGATCACAAAGAAACAATGATCCATGTTTAGGGTTTATCTTTCATTCAGCCACAAAGCCACAGTAAAAGAAAACGGACATTGAGGGTCTGTGATTTTTAGAAGTCAATTTCCTCTCTGCCCCAGAACTATAATTATCAGATGGCAAAGTTGGGTCACCGACATATCCAAGATCTTCCCTCTCCAAAATCTCTGTAAATAGGAGTGGTGGTAGAAATACCAGCATGCCCTAAGCAAATACCACACGGGCAGAGGTGTTAACAGACACGGTGTTGAACCCACAAGCGGCTTCTGGAAGGGCTGCTAGAACAGTGCCAAAGCAGGACTCTGCTGCCAGTAGAGGAGGAGAGAGGAATGTTGCTTTGGTTCCAAAGACTAAAGGCAGAGTCTGTGGCTGCAGATGGAAACAGCGGTGCAAATGGGCACGGGGAGGACACCAGTGTTCCCAGGCTACTGCCATGAGCTTTAAAGGGGTTGGGGCTTCTGTGGTTGAAGTAGCTGTGGCAATGATAGGTCTCAAAAAGAGGGGCTCAGACAGGTACGGAAGCCCTTTAACTCTAAGCACGTGAGGGCAGGCAGCAGGTGGTGTTTGCTCTTTGGGGGAAGAAGGGTGCTCTGTACATGTTCAGAGCAGTGTTCCCTCTAAGCCTGAGTTAGTGTGAGCTAGCTCACAGTTTTTTAGCCTCCAGCTCACACATTTTTGTTTTAGCTCAGGAAGGGATGGCTCCAGAGCAAACTAATGTATACAGTAGCCAAATCGCTTGCTCACAACTTTAATGCCAGTAGCTCACAAAGTAGAATTTTTGCTCACAAGACTCCACAACTTAGAGGGAACATTGGTTCAGAGCAGTGTTCCCTCTAAGCTGAGTTAGTGTGAGCTAGCTCACAGTTTTTTAGCTTCCAGCTCACACTTTTTTGTCTGAGCTCAGGAAGGATGGCTCCAGAGCAAACTAATTAATGCAGCAGCCAAATCTCTTGCTCACAACTTTCATGCCAGTCACTCACAAAGTAGAGTTTTTGCTCACAAGACTCCACAGCTTAGAGGGAACATTGGTTCAGAGGCATATGTCATAATATTTTTTAGGTAAAAGGTGTGCCCTAAAGTCAGACTGGTGTTGCTAAATGGGTCTGGTTAAATGGGGGCTTGAAAGACCGATACGTGCAGATAATTCTTCCCCCACTGCCACCATTTATAGTCATACTCTGAATGTCAAGCTTGGGAGAAGCTAAACGAATAGAACAAATGGGATGTGATCTGATGTCACCGTAATCCAGACAGCGGCTTAAGTGACGATTCACAAATCTGCTGCCCTGGTCTACATTTTGGGCCAGTCATCAGGAGACCCCAGCCTAAGGTTGCCAACCTCCAGGTGGGGACTTGGGAGCTCCTGGAATTGTAATTGATCTCCAGAGGGCAGAGATCAGTTCCCCAGGATAAAATGGCTGCTTCGGAGGGTGAACTGTATGGCATGATACCCTCATGGGGTGCCTTCCCTCTCCAAATCCTACCCCCTTCACAGGCTCCAACCCCAAATCTCCAGGAATCCCCAACCCAGCCCTACTTCAGCCTCAAGCCGAAATGGGCACGCTGCCCTGTTTGCCAGCAGTCCTGAAACTGGCATGGATGAACACTCAGAGCTGCCATATACTACCTCTGACCATTGGTCCACATGGTCAGCAAGGCTTCTTGGACAGCTAGTGGGTCTCCAGACTCTCAGGCCAACAAAGGCCTTTCCCAACGCCAGCTACCTAAGGGTCAAAGCTAGATCTACTTCCTTCCTTTGTGTCCCCTTCCCTTTCTCCCCAATGGGGACCCAAAGTGGCTTATGCTGTTCTCCTTGCCTTCATGTTATCCTCAAAACAACCCTGCGGGGTAGGCTAGGCTGAGAGAGTGTCATCTGGCATGCTTCCACGGCAGAGCAGGTAGAGAAAGAGGTACTTTTCTCCCTTTCTCACAATACAAGAACTCGTGGGCACTCCATGAAATTGCTGAGCGGTCGGGTTAGAACGGATAAAAGGAAGTCCTTCTTCACCCAAAGAGTGATTAACACTTGGAATTCACTGCCACAGGAAGTGATGGTGGGTACAAGCATGGACGGCTTCAAGAGGGAATTAGATAGGCATATGGAGCAGAGGTCCATCAGTGGCTATTAGCCACAAGATATAGATAGGGACTCTGGGGCAAGTGATGCTCTGTCATCTTGGTGCTTGGGGGGGGTCAACAGTGGGAGGGCTTCTAATGTCCTGGCCCCACTGGTGGACCTCCTGATGGCATCTGGTATTTCTGGCCACTGTGTGATACAGAGTGTTGGGCTGGATGGGTCTTTGGCCTGATCCAACATTGGCATCTCTTATGTTCTTACTAGAAATAAGGCCCGTTGTGGAAATAAATACAACGAGATCTAGAAAGAGGCTCTGGGAGAGTGCTCTGGCTTTGGGCAAACAGTGTCAGTCTGCTTTTAAAACATGAACCTGGGACCTGCACACCACCGGAATACAGCAGGTTCCATATGCAACTGACATTCCAACTGCCTTGGGGGGGGGGGAGTTTGAGGTGTGGAATGGAGTGAAGTCCAATCAGCTTCCATATGCAAAAGACCAGGTTGTCGCAGCAGTTGTGGTGTGGGCGGGACCCGGGCTTTGCCTTCTGATTGGTGGCGATATATGCTGAGGAGCAGTGCCATCAGCCATACACTAAGGGAGTGCCTTTTAGAATTAGAACTTTGGCACCCACTATTCAATTATATATAAGGAGAGATGATTTCAACCTGGGCGTCCCAGACCCTAGTCTGACACTCTGAGCCCCACATTTCTTTTACAGCTGTGCGAGAGGCCCTGAGTTGGACCAGTACAGGATGGTGAAGCAAGATGAGTCTAAGCCACCCAAACCTTTCCCTTCCCTAGTTTTCCTATTAGCCTTGGGAAGGGTTTTTTTTTTTTAATGATAGCTGCCTGCAATTTATTCTTACAAGATGCAAGGAGATCTGTGTTTGCCCTTCCACTCTCTTCACTGGATATTCAGGGACTGAAGCTGGACTTGGCCACAGGTCCGTGGTGGCCTCCCGTTGCTATCATCATGGTCTGTGGCCCAGCGCAAGCCCAGCTGTCACAGTGGGCCCTACAAAGCCATTACTTCCAGCTTGTCTTAAGCCACAATCTGCAGCCTGTTAATGTGGGCATGCTTACAAGGAGGGGCCTGGGGATCTCCTGGGATTACAACTCCTCTCTAGGCAAAAGAGATCAGTTCCCCTAGAGAAAACAGCAGCTTTGGAGGGTGGGCTCTATGGCTGTATATACACCACTGAAGTCCCTCCCCCCCATCTCCAGGAATTTCCCAACCCCGAGCGGTCAACCCTGCACAGCCATCTTAACTTTCATCATCAGCGATCAGCTTTATTGCTGATTATTTGGAATACTGTGTGCAATTCTGGTCACCACACCTTAAAAAGGATATTATGGCTTTGGGAAAAGTGCAGAAAAGGGCAACTCGAATGATAAAAGGGTTGGAACACTTTCCCTATGAGGAAAGGTTAAGGCGCTTAGGGCTCTTTAGCTTGGAGAAACGACGACTGAGGGGTGACATGATTGAGGTTTATAAGATTATGCATGGGAAAGAGCAGGTAGAGAAAGAGGTACTTTTCTCCCTTTCTCACAATACAAGAACCCGTGGGCACTCCATGAAATTGCTGAGCGGTCGGGTTAGAACAGATAAAAGGAAGGACTTCTTCACCCAAAGAGTGATTAACACATGGAATTCACTGCCACAGGAAGTGGTGGCAGCTACAAGCATGGACGGCTTCAAAAGGGAATTAGATAAGCATATGGAGCAGAGGTCCATCAGTGGCTATTAGCCACAAGGTATAGCTAGGGGCTCTGGGGCAAGTGATGCTCTGTCTTCTTGGTCCTTGGGGGGGGTCAACAGTGGGAGGGCTTCTACTGTCCTGGCCCCACTGGTGGACCTCCTGATGGCACTGGTATTTCTGGCCACTGCGTGATACAGAGTGTTGGACTGGATGGGCCTTTGGCCTGATCCAACATTGGCATCTCTTATGTTCTTATGTTCTTATTGCTGTTGCTAAGGTGTGTATATTAAAAACAGACTGTTTGAGGTGAAAACTCCAGACAGAACATAAAGGCCAGAGCCATAACATTTGATATGTCTAGATGCTAAATCTCTAAGTGCCTGGGTGATGTGCAGAAATAGCACTTTAGCAACAGCTCTGTTTTGCACCAAAAATACGGATTGAAAAGGCAAAGGATGTGTGCCCCTAGCATGTGCTGTTCTTTATCATTTTGCACAGCGCATCTGACCCATCAAGTGCTTTACAATCACATTTTCAAATAGTTAACCATTCCCGTTTTACTGGTTCACTGGTGACAAGAAGAGAAAAACTTGCCTCAGGCAGCCAGATTAGCTGAACAGCAGAACAACAGCGGGAGGCCTTGGCTACATCCAGCAAGTATGTCGCTGTGGACCTTGGAAGGGGAAAAGAAACAGCTTGTATAGCAATGCATAATCATGTATTCTTCATAGGCAAGGCCAAGCTCCCAGGCCGGCCACAACCTGTGTTTTTCACTAGCTGATTACCATACCTGTTGCGTGCTCTTCCCTTTATTTTGCCTTGGACCTCCCACCCCTCTGCTGCAGCTTGTGCACATTGTGATCAGTTTTTAAAAAAGCGTTTGGGTTGAGTCGGTAGTTTGTACTGGAAAATGAGAACGGATGGGGAAATGTTTGAGGCTGGTGTGCCACCGTGTGGATCTCAATGAAAGAGAAATTAATTGAAAAGCAAATTCTTTGGATTAAGGCAAGGGATTCTGTGGAACTGAAGTCAATTCAATTCAAATTCAAATACCTTTTATTGGCATACAATATTAGAAGCATTTACCAATAATACAATCCAAAAGAAATTATAAAATAGATAGTCGTGGCTATGTCAGGCCTAACTCAAGTTGTCACAAGCTAGATTTGACCATACAAAATGATGCCTGAATCATAAAATAAATTGGCCTTCTAAACTTTTAAACTTAAGTTTTTAGACTTATAAATTAAGAATCATTAATATGATCAGGGTCACTCTTCCGTTTTATGAAACCATGGAGAAACTTAGCGGTCAGTGGAACTGAAGTCATTGCTGAAGGCGTTCCCCCTCCCCAAATAGCAATACGGCTGTGGCCTGCCTTCTTTTGATTAGGTTCAGAGCTCTGTAAGGGGTGGGGGAGGGCTGAACACATGAGGCTGCCTCATTCACGCAAGCTCTGTTCACAAGTGACAACAGTTGCGTATACAATCAGTGTACGCTTGATTGTTCTTTAGATGTTTGTTGAATAATCCTCGTAGGTAAGGCACAGGGAGGGGGAAACCAAACCTGACCCAAAAACTGGAATCAAGAACCGCAAGGGTGAGAAAGAAGTCAAATAAAGGGCCAGTATTAAAAACTTAAGTTAAAACTTATAATATTCAAAAATACATGTATTTATTAGAAAGACAGTTAAAAACATATAAGGGCCCAATGAAAGCCTCGTAAACAAGTAAAGGTGGCCTAAACACAAAGGCCAATACACATGACCTGACGCGTTTCTGCCCAATTGGGGCATTCTTCAGAGGTCAAACAATATTGAGGTACATGTAACTTTAATACATATTACAATAAGATGGAAGTCATGTGTCTGGTGCCAAATGCACAGTTGCTGAATTAGAACATCCCCCCCCCCCCGCCCCTCCCCCGGGGGGGATGGCGGCCCCCCTACATCCCCCCCCCCAAATGACCCCTGGCTCTTGTGTCTTTAGATTTTGCTGCTTAACCTTCCTTTTCTTGGTCCAATATTCACTTGGTTATCTCACTGTAATATGTATTAAAGTTACGTGTACCTCAGTGTTCCCTCTAAGATGAGTTAGTGTGAGCTAGCTCACAGTTTTTTAGCCTCCGGCTCACACATTTTGCCTTAGCTCAGGAAGGAATGCTCCAGAGCAAACTAATGTATGCAGTAGCCAAAATGCTTGCTCACAACTTTAATGTCAGTAGCTCACAAAGTAGAATTTTTGCTCACAGGACTCCACAGCTTAAAGGGAACATTGACCTCAATATTGTTTGACCTCTGAAGAAGGCCCCAATAGGGCGGAAACGCATCAGGTCATGAGTATTGGACGTTGTGTTTAGGCCACCTTGTTTACAATTACAAGGCTTTCATTGGGCCCTCATATGTTTTTAATTGTCTTTCTAATAAAGACATGTATTTTTGTATATTATAAGTTTTAACTTGGTTTTTAATATTGGCCCTTTATTTGACTTCTTTCTCACCTTTGTGGCTCTTGAGTAATCCTCATGTGACAGTGAACACATGTATGCCTGAATGTGTGATTTAAACCCCACATTTATCCAGTAACTGGTCCCTGGTTTTGTTCGTAAAGTGAATGAGCATGGGGTCTTTCTTGTGTACACATACATGCCAGATGCATCTGTGTTCCCTGTAACATGGAGAAGCCTGCAGAAGTCAGATCATTGGTCCGTCAAGGTCAATGTTGCCTGCTCTGGGTCCCGAGACTCTGAGGTCTTTCGTATCTATTTCTTCATTTCTACCCCACGTTTCTCCCCAGTGGAGACCCAAAGTGGTTTACAACATCCTTCCTTCCTCCATTTTATCTCACAACAACCGTAGCTCTGTTTATCCGTTACAGTGAATGCACATACATCCTGCACGTCCGAGTGTATATCTGTTCGTAAGAAAGAGCTCATGTGCATTCACTTTACGAATGAAATTGCAGACTGTTATATCCTGGGAACCGCCACTAGGCAGTGGCCAGGCGAGCAGAGCTTGATTTCTAAAGAACAATAGAGGCTAGGCGCCTAAGGTCCACTAGGGGAAGCAATAGAAACCTTGGCGGGAGATTCAAACCCCCCAATGGGATCCAGGGGTGTTCCCTTGGATATGTATATAGTTAGACACTTGGCTGTTTGTCATTGTCTTTGTAGTGTGAAGTACTGAGTAAACGCATGTTTCTTATGTCGTTGTCCGAGTCGTGATTTATCGAACTGAGTACTTTACACGGACCAGTGCCTAGATACATGTGGGCATCGTATCACACAGTTAACTGTACATGCACTGAATGTAACATGAGGATTACTCAACACACAAAGAATAATGAAGTGTACACTGCACACAGATTATATGTGAGCTCACTATAATTTATGAACAGGGCTCCTGTGAGGTACTTGAAGCTGAGAGTCTGTGCTAACTACCCGATCCTTTTAACTGGAAATGCCGGGGGTTGAACCTCAGACCTTCTGTATGCAAGACCTTCTACCACCTCCTCAATGAAACTGCCTTCTACTGATAGTTCCAGGTGGTCAGCCGTGTTGGTCTGAAGCAGTAGAACAAATTTAGAGTCCAGTGGCAGCTTTAAGACCAACAAAGGTTTATTCAAGGTATGTGCTTTCATGTGCATGGACACTTTGTCAAATATTATTCAAGGTATGCGCTTTCATGTGCATACACACTTTGTCAAACACATTAGAAAGGATAAGTTTGAAATCTAGCTAACATGAAATCTAACATGAAAGCTCACACCTTGAACAATCTTTATTGGTCTTAAAGGTGGACTCTAAATTTGTTCTACTGCCTTCTTATGAGTTAGACCATTTGCCCATCATAGTCGATATTAGCTGCTCTGACAGGCAGCAACTCTCCAATATCTTGGGCAGAGTTTCAGATTACCTACAACCAAATCCTTTTAACTAGCTGGGGAATGAATCTGTGACCTTCTACGTGTAAAGCAGATACTCAGCCACTAACACATGGCACTTCCCTAAATAAAGTTTCCGTCTACTGATTCACCATGGTTCTATAAAGGTCAGAATTGTCTACTCTGACTGGCAGCAGCTCTCTAGGGCTCAGATGGATGTCCTTCACATTATCTACTCCCTGAACCTTTTAACTGGAGATTCCAGGGATTGAATCTAGGACTTTCTGCATGCAAGACAGATGCTCTTCCACTGAGCTATGTCACCTCCCCTCCCCAGAAACAATTCATACATATGAAGTTACCTGGTCCATCCAGCTCAGTACTGTATACTTTGACTGGCATCAAATCTGCAGCAAATAAAACACCAGATAAAATTCCTATTATGAGAAACGGTACATTTAATTATTCAGAATATTTGCATGACCACTTTTTCTCCTGAACATTTTACAGTCCAAGGCAGGTAACAACAATATGAAAAACAACTTGTTACAACAAACCTAAAATAGTTCAATCATAAAAGATGTTCCTATTGAGATATATGTCAGAGTGTTAGAGGTAGCAAGCAGTTACTATAGATCAGTTTGATCTGTCTGTCGAACCTAGCTGTCAAGCTAGTGATCATGTAATTAAAGACAGGTGTTTCTAGCAGGTGTTGCTCTTTCAAGTCTTGTTAGAGTTAGAGATTACATCACCTTGTTAGAGATTGGCTGGGGTTTAGCATAATAGCTATCAGCTTGGTAAGCTAGTGGGGGACTTAGTTCTCATAGACTAAGGCACGGCAATGCTGTTCAATAGTCTGTAAATATCTCTGTATATATATATATTCACCTTTATAACTTTATAAACTCTCTGTGTACCTTCATAACTGGTCAGTCTCCAGCTTCTTATTTACAATACCCAATAGTTCCTAGGCACAAAAACCATACAGCTCAATAAATACAAAAAAGAGTTCTTGAGCAACCTTAAAGACTGTCAGATTTATTGGTGCGTGAGCTTTTGTGGGCTAGACTCTGCAGGAATGTATACACAGCAGAGGGGAAGGGGGTGATAGATTAGAATGTCATGAAATGCAAGAGAAGGCAAATCAAAACTCAAAAGTGTAGAAACCACAACAGCTGTATCAGATGATAGCTTAGTCTGCATTAACCACAATAAACACAGCATTGGGACCAAATAATTACTTTCTCAGTTGATGCCTGAAAGTCTGGAATCAGACAAACTGCCCCCAGCTCCAGTTGCCTGCCAGTACTCAGCTGGGCAGGAGAAGGAAATGCTCAAAATGGGGGTGGGGGGACAACTGGAGTCCCTGGCACAATGACATTGCTTCTGGTGCTCTAGCATTCACCTCAAACTCTTTGATTAAACTAGAGCTTTGGGCAAATGCATCACCCCTTGCACAATGATTAGGGTTCCCAAGCTCCAGGTGGTGGCTGGAATTCTCCTGGGATTACAACTGAACTACAGATGAAAGAAATCAGTTCACCAGGAGAAAATGGCTGCTTTGGAAGGTGGACTCTATGGTATCATACCCCATTGAGGTCCCTCCCCTGCCCCAACCCTCCCCAGGCTCCACCTCCAAAGTCTCAAGGTATTTCTGAATCCAGAGCTGGCAGCACATGAACACATGAAGCTGCCTTCTACTGAATCAGACCCTTGGTCCATTGAAGTCAGTTATTGTCTACTCAGACTGGCAGCCGCTCTCCAGTGTCTCAGGCAGAAGTCTTTCACATTACCTACTACCCGGTCCTTTTAACTGGAGATGCCGGGGATTGAACTGGGGACCTTCTGCATGCCGAGCAGATGCTCCACCACTGAGCCACAGCCCCTCCCCAATCTTAATAATGGATCAGGGTTGCCATCCTCCAGGTTGAGGGGCTGGAGATCTCCTGGGACTACAACTGATCTCCAGATGACAGAGAGCAGTCCCCCTGATGAAAATGCCTGCTTTAGAGGGTGGACTCTATGGCATTATACCCTGCTCCTCTCTGCAAACCCTGCCCTCCTCAGATTTCCAGGTATTTCCCAAGCAGGAGCTGGCAGCCTTCGCAATGATGCCATTTCTGGGTCACACCAGAAGCAATGGCATTGTGCCAGGGATGCTGATCCCTCCCTGTCACTGTCTACTAGTCCCCACCTCATGTCTCTATTGGGTGTTGTAAATAAGAAGCGGGAGACTGACCAGTTATGAAGGTGCACAGAGGGTTTATATAGTTATAAAGGTGAATAAATACAGAGATATTTACAGGCTATTGAACAGCATGTCGTGCCTTAAGTCTATGAGAACTAAGTCCCCTCAGCTAACTAAACAGATAGATGCTAAACCCCAGCCAATCTCTATCAAGGTGATGTAATCACTAACTCTAACAAGACCTGAAAAAGCAACACCTGCTAGAAGCACCTGGCTGTAATTACATGATTTACTGCTAGGTTTGACAAACAGATCAAACTGATCTATGTAACTGCTTGCTACCTCATATCACTCTGACATATATCTCAATACTCTCGCCTGTTGCCCAGTCACACCTGGCAGTCACACCTGGCAACCACCCACTTGACTTCTGAAGGGAGGTTTGTATGCGAAAAGGGGCAGTCCTTCAAAGAATAAGCAAATGTCAGAGTCAGCTGGGGCCATAAAACACAGGAATGAGAGGATGGAACATAGTTATGCATAAAATTCAATTCTAATTAAGAGAAATACAGAAACCATTCCCTAAGCCCATCAATACCTGTAAACCTATGACTTTCCCTGCAGTACAGTTGTTAATACGTTCAGCATGACCAACACTTGGTTTCTGTGTTTTTCTTAATTAGAAATTAACCTTTGTATAATTATATTTCAATCGATATGTTCTGCATTTCCAGTTCCCTGTGTTGCGCTTGCTTCTCATACCCTGGGTTGCCAACAAGGCTGGAGAGAAAGCATCCTGTGACACTGTCCCTTTAATAGAGACTTGATGCCTAGAAATGGGCAGCTCTTCACACCATGGTGGTTAATTGCATCACCTGGTAAATATCACTCAATTTTTTCCCCTCCAGGTCTATTAAAGGTAAAGGTTCCCTTGCTCGAAAGCCAGTCGAGTCCGACTCTAGGGTTGCGATGCTCATCTCCGTTTCCAAGCCAAAGAGCCAGCGCTGTCCGAAGACGTTTCCGTGGTCATGTGGCCGGCATGACTAAACACCAAGGCGCACGGAACGCTGTTACCTTCCCACCGAAGTGGTACCTATTGATCTACTTGCAATTTCTTGCTTTCGAACTGCTAGGTTGGCAGGAGCTGGAACTAGAGATGGGAGCTCACTCCGTCATGCGGCACACTCGGGTCTCGAACTGCTGAACTACTGACCTTCCACAGCCC